ACACGTTATAAATTTCATGCGTCCGAAGCGCTTTTCTGGATTTATCTTCATTAGGAACGCTCAAAGCCTAATATTTGAAAGCCAAGGATGTATAAGAACCAAACGCTGTATGTTAAATTATGCATATTTTCTAACTTTATTTTTTATTGTGCAATTAAACTGTAGCCGTCGTTACTCACTGATCAAGATAATAGGGGAGATATGGTTTCTCACAAAACTTTCGATGTGATATTTTGTAAACCTATGTTCACTTGAGAACTGGATATTAGAAGTGAGGATGTCTCTATTGAATTCATTTACAACTTTTCAACTATGACATGCGACGTAAACACTAGATCAGTGTTGACTACTGTAAGACTATCTAGATTAATTTATGGTGTGACGTTGCCTCCTCATTGACGTTCTTTTCTCAGTCTCTCAAATCTGCCTTTATTCATACTCAATGATAAAGATGAATGAACGTAAACGATGATACAAATTGGGCCGTGAAAAGTGTTAGGCTAAGGTCAACAGATCTAATTAATTTATAGGACATCCAGTCGGAATCTGAAATGTAATCACAACATTCCAATTAATCTTTGTGACTAGGGATGTTTATTAATCTACAAATACCATGGACAGTGACATCAGTCGGAAAGAAAAGAGACAAACAGAGAAAAAACAAATTCAACACTAAATCATCATTATTACTAGTAAATATAAGCACACGATTAACGTCAACTCAGCAATATAGATCGGCAGAAAAATGACTGTAGCCGACTTTTAATATACTTTTTGAGATGTATTTATTTTGTTTACCGGAACAATGATTTTCACTGTGAATAAACAGTTTCAAATACAATCGGAAAACTGTGCTTTATAATAACCTACTGATCAATGGTCTACTTAATTCAAAGTACATTATGTTTTTGTATGTTCGTTTTGTGTATGTGTTTTTTATTGAAATACTTGTCTCGTCAATTTTATTTTAGTCATACAAATAAAATATGTTTTCTGAAAATGTTAAAAAAAAAGACGCATTGATGACGTGTATAAAATACATCTATCAACACAAAATTGTTTAATAATAGTAATCTAACTTGGTTAATTAAGAAAAAGACATTTATTAAACTATTCAATAAACTATTTCTAAATATAAAGTATAATGTAGCGTGAAAGTCTTGATTACCATTAAGTGAACTAAGAACACTGCAAAAAGGTAGCGCTTTAAAGTGTTATATATATTTTATTTCTATGATAATTTTTCTGCGTTTGTACACGATCGGAAATGTAAATATTGTAAGATTGAAATTTTCAAGATATAAAGACGAAAACTCGATGTTTTTTTTTGTCTATGAATTGCTGTCTCGTTTAGTGCTGGTCAGCTGTACTGACCTAAGTGGTCTCGTATATGGTAATAGATGTACTGTACTGGTAGGTTATAATGTAACACGGGGAATAGTACATACTGCACACGCACGAGTGAGAGCTCCGGTGGGTCCTTTTGTGATTTTGAGGTAGGGATGAGCAGCTGAGACATCAAGTACCCCATGCTTTTCATATATTTTGAATATTTTAAAATGCATACCATATTCATTTATTTTTGCAAACAAACCCTATAGCTATATTAGGCTATTGCATTGAATTCAATAGGTTACAAATATCTGTCCAATATATACCAAATTAAGGCAAGGAACTTCTGGCTTCAATTTAAGATTTTCCAGTCCAATTTGACATTATTACCTTGCTATTTGGTTCAACCGTACTTTTGGACGAGCAAAATAGCCTTTTATTTATTTTGGTACAGAAATATATAATAAAAATCAAACGATTCAATCGTTGATGCAAATGCTCGATCACTTATAAAACCTAAGCCTTTCATTCTGCACACAACACTCTATACTATTTACCACGTTTATTCAGTATTTTTTTTTATGAAATGTCAATATCTTATATTTTTGTTTACAAATTAACTATTTCAGAACATGCCATACTTACATAAAAATGACAATATAAGAAATTTATTTGTATATTAGGAGACAGATTAATAAAAGAAATATTTTGCTTGTTTCTGAATCCTATTTATTTCATGTATCAGAATTATATACTATGTATTGGTTTATTTGAATAAATATTGTTTAAACTAAACTAAATATCTGATGCATTTTCGACTGGTTTTAATCGCAACTTTAATAAATACCTAGATCCGATTCAGTAGTTTCAGATACTCGAGACGTAATCAGCAAATTTATATTTAATATAATTTTCTCGCCTTATCAAATATCACGAAGCTTGAAATAGTTACCTATTCCCGCGGCTCCTTCAAACAACTTTTTATATTAGTCTTTTTGCTACATGATTTTTTTATAAGTTGTTATTGGCCTTGAACAAGCTTTCAGTAACTGAGAGTACACTCACATCGGTACTTTTTGTCATTAAAGTCTTTTTGCTAGTTGTTTTATTTGCGTCTTTGTGTCGATCTGATGAGTCCAGCCTTTTTCAGCTGATTTTATAGTTTGTTCTTATGTTGTGCTGTTATAACACTGTCCAAGGTTTAGGGTTTGGCGCCCGTAAACATGTTTAACACAGCACATTCTGTATGTATGAGCCTGTAATTCAGTGGTAGTCGTTTTTTGTTGCATATCATATTTGTTTTTCGTTTATTGTTTTGTACATAAATCAGGCCGTTGGTTTTTCTCGTATGAATTGTTTTTCATTTGCTATGTCTAAGCCTTTTATATAGCTTGATATGCATATGGGCTTTGCTAATTGTTGAAGACCGTACGGTGATCTACAGTTGCTAACCTTTACATTATTTAGTCTCTGGTGGAACGTTGTCTCATTGGTTATCATACCAGATCTTCATATTTTTAGATTAGTTCATAGTAATTACTACCCGTGGCTGAGAGTGGCTTATACAGACTGGTATAGCAGTGGATGTTCTGACAAAATCGAATACTCCGTTAATTTTTATAAATTATAAGAAGTCATCGACAGAGATATTTTCCTATTTTATGATTACAATAACTATGAATGAGAAGTTTTTTTTAATAAACTTTGTAGGTTATCTGGGAATCTTTTAAAAGAATAATTGAACATGTTAAAGTGTTATGACAATGCTTTATATCAAGCATTAATAAATAGGATATATATGACTTCACTGGCTGTTTATGTGTCAGTACAAACATATGCAATCCAAATCCAATTGAAAATAAATACTTTTTTAATCGGATCCCTTTTGTCCTTTCTTTTGTCCTTTCTTTTAACTCTTTTTTGGCATAAAATGAAAACAACATTATATAAATTTGATGCGTCCAAACAGCTTTTCTGGATTTACCTTCATCAGGATTGCTCAAACAAAAAATGAAGCGAAGGGTATATAAGTACCTAAAAACTTGATGAGCTATTTGACAAAATGTGACGTAAAATAGACAAACCCATCTAATTTTGCCTGAGAGAGTCCGGACCTTAGTGTCGTAATCATTTCTAAATTCCTATTTCAAAACTTAATGTGGTGGGGTTAAGCATATTTGTGAGCGCTAAATCGCCACCCTAATCCAGACAAAGATGTAACAGCACAACATAAGAACGAACTGTAAAAATCAGTCGGAAAGGACTTGACTCCTCAGATCAGCACGAAGAACAAACACAACTGACTAATAGACAAAAACTATAACGTACCGATCTATGTAAGTTTATTCAAAGGATCAATAAGTTAAGATGGGTCGTATCTAAATTTACGGGATCTATAAACAAAATTACCATACAAAGTTTAAATACGTGATATCCCGCTTGTTATATGGTTTCTATAGGTAAAATTCAAATTTCCAAACCAAATCTTTGTATCTAAGAAAGAATGAAGTAAAGGTTAACGATATCCCTGACTAATCTATTTACCTGTTATACACAGAACACGATCATTGAAATCTAAAACGTCACTATAGACACGAGCATAGCAAAACAGTTGGAAAATATACACAATGTAAGGAATGACAAAAGGAACATCTCCGTCCAAACAAAAAGATGAGGGAACGAAAAGTCGTCTTTTGATGTAAAAAAGAGGCGGAAGACATCAAAGGAACATTCAAAACTCATAAGTCGAAAAAAAATGTCAACGCTTTAACAAAAAAAAAAAAACGATGAAAAGACAATCAAGTCCACAAAACAAAACACTATACAAAAAAAACTAAAGACTGAGCAAAACGAACCCCACCAAAAAACCGGGGGTGATCTCAGGTGCTCCAGAAGGGTAATCAGATCCTGCTCCAAATGTATCGTCAATTTGTGTACTGAGTTTCCCGTATGAAACAACAATATCCGAATCTAAAAAAGGACAATCAATGTTGTTTATATTAAATTAATCTATATTAGTTTTTTTTTCCTGCCAAACTTGCCTGATTTCAACCGAGGTGGGGGTAGAAAATGTCATATTAAAAACCATTGAGAGGTATATAAGGTCAACTTTAGTAATGGCATGGGATGGGATACCTATGTCACTATCATTAATAAACTTTACACAATTTAGAAATTGAAATCTGTAAATATGAAATTGTACCATCCTCTTTTACGCATTATATATTTTTTCATAGTTGGTATTGAGGTTTAAAAATAATCTTTCAGATGTGAATTCGCATGGAATTTATTCATCAATGTGTTCTATAAAAGTATATAAAGGGGAACCAAAATTGTTCACTGATATTTAACTGGGAGAGGTGGAATACTCCAAGCAATACATGTAAAACAATCATCATAATGTAATAAATGTACTGAGGTCCAGGCTATATTAACCAATTTGTATTTATTGACAGGGTTAGATTTGGGATGCTTGACTTTTGGTATCCAACCTGGAAAATAAATGGTAACTATTTCACTCCTATCAAATACGAACTCTTATAGTTAAATAAAGATTATCAGAGGTCTAAAATCTGTGTTCAATATGGATTTTTTGTATCATAATTGATCTCATTTATTTTTAAGAGAATCTTTAAAGAAGTCAATACAATGAATATACGTGAACTTACCGGTCATCTTAACGTAGAACTTTTCCCAATACGATGTCCGATATAAAAAATATCACATTTTGAAATAATTATTGCGTGGTAGATATTGAAATGAACACTGATATTTTTCAAGAACAAATTACTTGATTGACTCCTGTACTTTAATTCAATAATAACTTTCCAGGTGCTATTTTCTCACTGCACACTCACTATAATAATAAAGTATAGTTTTACACCTTCCAGTTTGTATTAGATCGATTGTAGCCGATATTAGACTGATAAAGTAGATTGTATCGGTGTTTAAATATTGTTTATATGTCACGTTGGTTTGTATATCTCGTTACAGTCATACTTAGCCCCTACTAAATACAGCAAATAGTTTGTCTACTGATAACTAAGAATTTCTTTTAATACACAGAAGTGTTTTCGGTATAACTAAGTTAAAATAGTGTTCCCTTATGAGGTAAATGAAGGAATACATATAGTGCAAAGATTTGTCACAAAACAGCATACAATCTTGGTTTATATTACACTAAAAGGTTTTGAATATTCATATTTTACAACAAAAATATGTTTGCTTTTCATACGATTCATTAGTTTCGCAATATGAATAAAATTCTGATAAATGTTTCTGTATCAAACATGTGAATACAGCATCTTAGTATATTTTTTTAACGAAATGAAAGTCAAACGATGAGATTTATAGTTTTCCAGATTTTCACCTTTTTCTCTCTTAGTATGCTCTAGAATTTAGGATAGATTCACTTCATGTATGATAATATTTATAATGTGTTTTTTTTAAATAATAATATTCAAAATGGTAATGTTTGTCCCGCAGTGTTGAAATCTGTATCCTTTATCGACTCCAGCCTTGTGTTAAACGTAAATTTATTTAGGAAATATGAGAGTGATGATATCATCATCATGATGTTTGCATTTTTTAAAAAACGATCGTCTTTGATTATTTACATTTATTATGGAGATTTCTATTATTAGTAACATCCTACATCCTTGTACCTTAGCTTTTAAAGAATTTATATAACTATATCGTCTATAGTATTTAGGTAAAATATTGAATATACATGATTTATCTTTAAGTATATTTATGGTCATATATAGGGTGTACGAATAACGATTCGTGTGGCCATATATAGGGTGTAACGAATAACGATTCGTCATTATATCTCAATGGCGTTTAAACATTGTTTTAAACATTAGGAAAAAAAGGAAAAAGAAGAAGAAAAAAGCTGTTAATTGTAAAGAGTACAACCTAAATCTAACTGTAGGTTCAAATTTACAATTGCATCATTCGCTTAGAAATGTAGAGAGATTTTAAAATGACGAAGCATTACTAAAGGTAAACTTAAGGTTATGGGTTGAAATAATTAATATCTTTAAAATGTTTCATTCTCTATGTTTAATCATAAGAAAATACGATAAAATTTTAATGATATTTAATATGTAAATAGTGGTATTATATATAAGTTGTTTGTGTATGCCAAAAATAAAACGGGAATAAATATATCATAGCAAACATAAAATTTGATCTAGAAATGAAAGATATTAAGGGGCCAATTACAAACGAACAGACAACACTAAAACAAAAAGCTTAAAACGCTCAACAGTCAACAAAACACAACACAGAAACAACCATTAAATGAGCGATATGAACCGTGTCAAAATTTGGAAATAAATTTGAACGTTATGTAGTTTATAGAGCCCGTACATTTAGATACGATTCTTTGAATACACTTTCCTGAAAGTTAATCAATTTAACCATGAAGTAAGAGTTTTGAATAATGTCTCTATCTGTACCTACAATGATTTTGTATTAATATTAAATATTTTAAGAAGAAAACTGACATCCTGTCGATACATATATTTTGGCACTGTACAAGGTCATACTTTTAAATGCTGTTTGTGACGTCTTCACATTTTGAAATCCTATGGAGGTGCACTGATTGATATTGTAGACTGGGAGAACATCATTTATCTGTTGGTTTGATTGGCTCTCTACTAGCTTTCAGTAACTGTGATTACTGAATACTCTTAATTTTAGGAACCTAATGTTTTTTTTTCTTTTGGGGTAGTTTTTGTATGCTAGTGCCAATCGGATGAGTCAAGCTATTTTCAACTGATTTTTAAAGTTTTTCTTATGTTGTGCTGTAACTACAGTAACCCAGATTAAGGGAGGGTTGAGCGTTTACAAACATGTTTTACCCCGCCATATTTTTTATGTGCTTGTCCCTAGTCCGAAGCGCTAGACTCAAGCTAGCAGCCACTCGCTAGCAGCCACTCCGCTAGCAGCCAGTTTTCAGATATGTCTATAAACCCAAAAGTTGCATAAGACTCAAATGTTTTTTTTATACTATATATAACGTTTTTTAATTTAACAATCGAAGACACTATGCATGAGTTTAAGGGGTGGATCCAGGATTTTTGAAGGGGAAAGGGAGGGGGGCTAATTGCCAAAAACATGTACGTATACCGCTGATAGGAGGATTGCAAAAAAATGTTGAACGATTTTATATGCCGAAAAAAAGAAGATATTTTTCAGTTTAAAGGGGAGGGTGTCGTACACCTACCACGCTTTATCTGAATCCTCCACTGAATTTTACATTTTCATTTTTTGTTCAAGAATTAAAAGACATTTGTATATTTTATTAGCACACCGCGCTGCACGTTGAAAGGGTGAGAATTAAAAAAAAAAAATATAGAACACTACAAGAGTGGAGAAATAAGGAATTTCTTTTTTAAAACACAATGTGAAGCAGCATTTTTCTTTAACAATTTAACCCTAAAAAGCACGAAAATGTGGAATAAAGTTTTTTTTATAAATCTTTAAAAAATATGATTTACCTCCCTTTAAAAATTATTGATGCGTAAAACAACAAATACTTGTATCATAAGGTGTCAAGCATTTATCTATTTACAATTAATGATCATGTAACAAACATTTGCAGAAATTATATTATAATTAAGCTATTTTCAGTTTCATTTTATGCCCATTTCATGAGATTCATTATGAATATTCATGAACTTCGAACAACAATGGTGTGGCAGTGCGTGGGTGTAACCGACTGTGTGAGGACTGTATAGCCAGTATAGCCAGTGAAGGTTGCGGAATAATGAAGAACGGTAAGAAATGTTTACGAAGGTAAAGATTAAAATAGAATAACAGTAACAGAAAAAAATATATATATATCCCATTAAGCTTTAACATTCACAAATATGATAAAAAAAAAGGAAGGGACTACTATACTAGTCAACAAAAGAAACGATACAAGGCAATGTATTTTCCATATATCATGAAATTGGATATACTGTACCGAGGTAAATAACTGCCCTATTGGTCTAATTTTACAGAGTGTTATTTTTCTCATCAAAACCAAGGCAAAAACGCGAAAAAAAATTTCTGGAATTTTTGTTATTTTGAAAATCATATTTTTACCCAAAAATTAAAAAATCGGTGTTAGAACTTTAAACTTTTAAACTTAAACATGGTCTGCTTAAAATTTTGAATGCCTTTGCAGATATTTGAATACTAAATTATCATCTTCGAAATTAAGTGCCGACTTATCTGCAAAATAAATTTGACCCCTGTGTTCAATAACTCGGTATTTTGTAACTTTCTAATTTGGTCATATTCTTTTAATCATATGCATTTGCTTTGTACATGAATGTTTTCATAGGATAATTTAAAAGATTTTCCTATTTATTATATTTTATGATAAATTTTAGTTCAAACTTGTGTATCGTTTCTTTTGTTGCCTGACTAGTATATTTATTTTTATTTTGGTTGGGGAATTTTAACTAGTTAGAACTGATAATAAGTAATGGAATGAATAAGCTGACCAAGACGAAGTGGTAACTGAACATAACCTATCATGTCGAAAACAGGATGAAATGAATATTCTACCCAAATAAAGAATTGTTATGAACGAAATCGAAAGTAAATATTTGACGGCTTTGCCGGCCCCCAAAAATGAGCCTGCATAGAAATCGGTAAACATGAATGACTATTGTGAAGCTAACCGGCGATAACAGTCGGCCGCTTACTATTCACTAGGGCAACCTGCAATAATATACATGAGATGACCTGGGTTCGATGACGTGTTGTAAGAAAATATCAATTATAAGGATAAAATAATGTTTGCTGATTATATTTGATATTGCTACAAATAACAATAAATTCTTAACTCAACGGGTGTCTTCTTCGAGGTCTGCGTTTACTTAATCAATTATAAAAAGGGAACGCCTACGTAAACCGATAGTTTACAAATATTTTTTCGGTCAATTATAAAAAATGCCAATTGAAACATCAATGAATAGCCTTTTATATTTAAACATTAAGCTGAACCAAAAATACAATCTACAGATGCTTCTTAGTGAAGACACATTCCATATAAGATTACAAAATGGTTCTTATTAAATTCTCTTACATGCCGACGTGATTTTTTTACTGGTTTTAAATCACTTTCAGAATTATACAGTTCTCATATTATATACAATTGTCTTCAACCATATTTAACAGTTCAGACTAAAGATAAAACCAATTACCCCAACTCTATGCTGACAAAGTCGTACGGGTTTAGGGCATATGTACCATGAGACAGTTAGCGGTAACATATGGTACCATGACCAACGTGAATAATCTATAGGTTTGAACAGCCGGCAATAGTTCAGTTGGACAATGTGCATCAGAATATCAGGACTCCCCCCCCCCCCGCCCCCCCCAAAAAAAAAAAAAACCAAACCTGTTGACAAACTCGTACGGGTCTAGGCATAAATGATAATAGCCATTTTAGAGGCAATGTCGTCTTCTTCTACCTCTTGTATCATGACCAACGTGACGACTCTATTAGTTTGGCCAAACGGCATTAGTTAAGTCGGACTATGTGACATACAAGGAAAGCAGGACCCACACAAGCTGAAAATCTCGTACGGGTCTAGACATAAACGCTATTTTAGAGGCAATGTCTTCTTCTACCTCTTGTATTTTGGCCAACGTGACGTATCTCTTAGTTTGGCCAGTCGGCAATACTTAAGTCGAACTACGTGACATACTAGGATACCAGGACCCCGACAAGCTGAAAATCTCGTACGGGTCTAGGCATAAGTCCTATGGTTATTTTAGAGGCATTGGTTTCTTTTACGGCTGGAATCATTGCCAACGTGATACATCTCTTAGTTTGATCAGCGGCAATAGTCGGACTATGTGACAAACCAGGTACCCCAACTCTATGCTTTAAACTCGTACGGGTCTAGAGCAGCCATTATAGAGGCAATGTATACTTTTACTCCTGGTATCATGGTTAACGTTAATAATC